ATTACGTAGAAGATTACGAGGTTGTTTTCATGATGTATTATATAAAAGAGTTCTTTAATGGGGTTGGGCCAACAATCATTTGATGCCTGAATAATCATACTGTAAATAAACTACTGAACCACCATGGAACTTCTTAGAGGATTCGTTGCCGGTAATGCGCACCACCGGCCAAAGAAACACTCATGCCACCAGAAATCACATTCCTGAAAACGCTTTCTCTTGCCAAACAAACTGGCTAGTTTATCACGGATTTACGCCGTTATTTTTTTCGGTTGATAATTAAGAGGATACACCAAAAATACCCCAAAATGAGCAGCGCAGCACTTTGCAATGCCCTGGAGAATCGCTACGAATACTCGGAGGTCGGAACTTCAGTGCCAGGGACCGCCGAACAATTATTAGAATTTCATTACGATTTTTAGGGCAAAAGCCGGTATTTCTCTAGGTATACAATTAGGTGAATCATGTTAGGATCATAAGGAATACGTTCACGGATTTTCCTGTTTTCCTAGCTTAGTTTACAATATCAATGGCGGTTTTGCTATTCAAACTATTCACGAAGGTCAGTCTAAGTACTAACAAGATTAGTGACCATGTCAGTTGTCAAGTTATCGCTATGGCATTCGTTTATAGATCTTGCTGCCAAGGTCTTTTCTGAAAATTTCAGTGTAGAGTTCAGTTTTAATCCTCATTTTTGGCCTTGTTTTCGTAGACAAGGAACAACTCTGCAAATTATCCATCATAAACCACTCGATACAAATACACAGCTGATGGTTGCTAATGATCTTCAAAAATTGTACATGTGATGATTCAAGATTCAAGGAGTAGGCAAAAAGGCGGGAAACTCGGTCGTTAGGATCAGTTCGCGGTTATCCGTTAAAATCTATTTATTTTTAGCTTATTGCCTGCTATTTCTTAAGTAGGTGCATCAGTTTGAAATCTTGAAAGAATGAGCCAGATTAATAATACCAAGGATTTGAGAGCAGAATAATGAGTGTCATTACTGTAAAGTTAATGCAATATCATTTAAGTGCATGCTTCAATGAAACACCATTTGACCGCACTCCCTCGAATATCATATTGATACAAACCGATTCTTATACTACTGAAGAATTTTAGATTATTATTCGGCCCATCGACTTAACACTGTGATAGCTCAAATATTCAAGATGAAGTGAATCCCAATTTTTGTGTACTCTATGAGCATTGTCGTCCTCTTTTACCAAAAATTGGATCGTACTAGAGTGATCTTACGTAATACATTGTACTAGACTAAATTGCATTGTTTTCTTTTGTTATACTCGACTTACGTCTTTGTTTCACGGGCGAATTAAAATCGTTCTAAGTAGCCTTATAAATACTAACTTGACATATTGCTATCCCTAAAGACGTGTGGTAATTTACGTTTAAACATGACAAAGGGCTCCCAATACTGAATACTTCGAGTGGACATTTCATTAAGTATTTCTCAGGATTAAATTAATCTTGGTGTAAAACTATACAATGAAATTTTTCTATCATCAAAGAAGACAATGACACTATTTCGAATTCGGCGTGTAAAATTGCTCAAGAATGGGCGTTCCAACTCATTCAGGGGACATAAACGTGAGGACATTTCATATCCCAGTACATTATCACCTGCTAAGATCAATTATTAGCCCGCGAGGTGTATCATACCAGGATTAATGCTCTGTATTGTATACACACAACACTGACCACAAACACATCAGTCGTATCCAATCTTTATTACAATATATACACTCACACTAGCTTTGTTCGGACGTAAATCCAAGGTGACGCAATAGTCACAATTTTATAAGTCTTTATCGAGTGCGCTTTTTCATGCGCTCATTAAAATTGAATATCTTGTAGGTCTGTCGGTGTACTTGGGGTACTCGGTTGATCCATTACGTTGTTCCGCGATTTGTCCGACTTTACACTTAAATGTAAAACTTCTTCCATAAGATCTTGACAACTTCGTAAACATTCCTGGAGGAAAGGATAAACAAAATGAAACATTGAGTAAAGAGTTTGAAGGTATCGGTTTCATGGTTGGGGATATGGTCAAGATAAGATAGATAAGCCACAATATGGCAACATCTTGGAGAGAGTTTAAGAAGCAATATGGAGAAACAATAAAAAAAAAACGTTACTGCCTTTGTGGCTACAAAAAATATGCGCTCTTAGATAGAATTTACTTGAATAAGCTTGATATATTTACACATTTTTGATCCTTTAAGCAAGCAGTCAGTGTGCTGTCTTGATTGCTTTTATACTCAGTCCAAACGTTTCCTATATCTCATTGTCGATATTTTGCTTCTTGCGCAATCTAAAAGTATTCCATATTTTAGCGTCAATGTATCGAGTATCGACCTAGCAACACGACCTTGTACCATACTAAAGGATCAGTAAATTAACTTTTTGGGTTCTCCTACTTTTTCTTCCATCCAAGTTTGTATTTTTTCCATTCCTCTCAGAAACTAGTTTCATCGTCATCTTTGTTACATGTAACTACTATTAACGTTGAAATCGCGAAAAAAAGAAAAAAGTGAAAGTGTCGATTTTCCCTCTTCATATTGCCATGCTTGCTATTTACGAATTTTACAAAAGAAAAATGCGATAAAACGAAGTAGCGGAATATAAAAGAATGCAACTAGTGTTTATCCAAGACTTATTTGTAACCCATCAGTGAATTCTGTGATTTTTGTCACAAGGAAAGGTCGTGTAACTCCATATAAAACAAATCCTTAATCGACAAAAACACATGTTCGAGAAATATCCCTAAGAGCCCTAACTCCTCTATAGATGAATAGTCTTAGGCTGGAATTCAAAATTACTCGTCGCTCGTGGCATCCACAAGTTTAAACGTATTGAGTATTTTGAACAAATAAAGGCCTTTACGTCACAGAACAAACAGAGACCCTCTCGGTAAAAATAATTTTTTCCTGCTCGGGACATCACAATTTTCTAAAAAATTCTAATCTCCGACTTAGATTATGAATACTTATGAAAATGATTTTCACTGGGGAAATTTAGAGCGTGGACGGAAGATCGACGAGTCATAAGTATCGGATCTTTGGATATTTCTGTGCACGAGAAATGCGTTCAACGTGGTCGTGGTATATTTCACTGTGCTCAGTGAACTGGAAGTTATAAAAAAAAGCTTAGGTTCAATGATTTCACGTGGATTTCATCACTAGGTGAACAAAAAATGAATTCTTCAGTCTGACCTTTCTCGAGGCTGAAGCCATGCAAGTGAAATCAAAATTAATAACGAAAAATGGACAGAAAGAATCGACCTTGCAGGCCTTTGTAAAAATATCAAAACGAATGAATTTGACAGGAAAGTGATGGATTGCTTTCCTTCAGAAAAGTCCAAATGGTGTTTAGAAATTTCAGCGCATGGCGTTGAATGAAATCTCGATATGCGCTATTCTTTGCCCGTACTTTACTCAATTACACTGCTTTTATTGATTTACACACAATGCCACGCTTCGCGCGCTTTCCTAACGCACCCATTCAACGCAAAATTAGCAGGTACATTACTCAGAAAACCACGTCTCAGGAGTAGGTAATTCACTTATTTTTAATCACCAAGTTTGGATTATGAGCACGGATCGTCAAGTCGAGGACACGCTTATCAAAGAAAATTCGAAACTTCTCATGAAAGGCTTTTAATGGATTATACGATACTGGCATTGAAGGCCTTATCTCTTGCGGCTAACCCAAATACAAACCAATGTAGCTAAAAATAAGTATTAAAGGAATGAAAAGAAACAAAATGCAGCGTATGGTTGACTTGGGTTTCAAAATCGAAATCAAATCCATTAAAAATGCCTTCAAAATTTAAAATGAAAAAATTCCAAGCACACAGCAACGCGCGCGCGCAAAAAAAAAAAAAAGAGGAAAAAATCAGGATGCTCGCGCGCGCGTTTCCTACATTTTCAACATACATTAAAAAATTCTAATTTTGCTGGATGGGGATTCAAAGGTTTGCTTACAAGCGAAGGGAGCTTTTCGTGACTCGAGGCTTTACTTACTGGTTCAATATTTGTGATGCTTTGTAAAAGAGAAGCTAGCTTGGTTGCTGACCATGATTTCGAGTTCCGATGTGAATCTGATATACCCAGACCGGTGAATGCAGCACACACAGAAGCGCCCGCCAACATCGAAGGAGTATAAAGTAAAAATTTATCATCTGTTAAAAAAAACAAAGTACATTAAATTTATAAGCATTAATGAAAAATTCTTGGTTGACATAGTAAAATAAACTCGCCCTGCACTAAATCCCTTCAATTTTACAGTAGCCTTCAAGGAAAGTATAAAGTAGACAAACAACAGAACAGAGAGGAGATAGAATATGTCTGTCTATATCCACAAATTAGACTATAATCAAATAGCTAATGTCTTGCAGGCTTTAAATTGCTAAACAAACTAAATCCAAAAGTCATGACTTGACGCAAATACCTGTGCAACAGAGAGCTATGAAGGTCGCGGCATGCTTACGAAGAACTTCAGACGTGGAGGAATCGAGTGGAAGTCGGCTAAAGATCTGTTCCAAGAAATCGTACGCTGTAACTGCAGATACATCCCATTTTAACTTGCCTAATACTAAGAGTTCCCAATCCTGAAACACACGAAAAGACAAAATTAATGATTTAGTTTGCATCTAATTGACTAGATAAACAAGTACAATTTGGAAATATCTTAAATAAAATTAATAAATTTTTAAAACAACATATAATATTTAATCGCGTTGAAATATTTCCCTCGTGTACTTACTAATAGCTCTTCACATGTTATAGAATTATCTGTGTATATGCAAAGCTTTTCGGCTGTTAGTGGCGTTGTTTCCTTCAGCTTGCTCGCGATAAACATACATACAGCACCAAGTAATTGAAGTTCGCATTTTCTAATGGGTAGCATGGATAATAATCTGTCTAAATAGTTCATAGATAAAGGAAAAACTTCCTCTTCGCATTGTTGTTCTTCACATACCTAGAAAAGACCAAAGAAGAAAGATCAACGAGGGCAACTAGAATATAGAACGGACATATTTTGAATTGTCTTGTAGCAGAGCATTACAGGCAGATAGCATGTAATTATGTCAATAATTATCAATAACTACTTACTTCCAACATCCACGTAGCTACCATTCGCCTCATATTTGGTTCTACTTCAGTTTGCACAATTTTAAAATAATTACAGCTAGGTAAATACTTTTCTTCACACGCTAGTAGGTTTTTTAACACACGATCGTCCTTTAAAATAACTGGGTCTTTGTAAGCATATCGAACTCGCACTCCGGGTTCGCAACACAACAACTCCATAGCCATGGCTTGTAGAGATTGCAGAACTTCGTCCAGTAGTGATGGAATGATGAAAATTATTGATTTGAATTGGCGCCGGGGTTGGCTTTCAATGACTTCACACGGAATAGTCTCAACAAGTAAACTTGCGATTTGTATTCTCGTGTTTTGGTCTCAGATTTTGTGTGTGGCCTCTTACCCCGGCGCTCAATGTCTAATGTGAGCAAGAGAATGCTAATGTACATCCGAGGTCTGTATATAATCATTGACAGCCAGTCCATCAGCATTCGCTGGCATTGCTTTGTGGTTGCCGGGCAGATTTTTGCTTTTCGCTAGGCAACGACATTGACATGGCTTCCTGCGTTCTCTTCTCGACCAATCAGCGCGCGTCGGCAAAAAGCCATGAACATGCAAATCAAACTTGCGACCGGTCACTCAAACTGTCAAATTATACATCACGAGCTGCAAAAAATCGAAACTATTCGGCTTTTCTCAAGAGCTAGAGACTTCTTCATCTGAGGGACTTCCCTTAATCAGCTGAATGCTTATGGTAAAAGAATAAACTCAAGCCCGAGTTTATTCAGACGCTTTCGATAAATAAATTCCCAAATGCAATATTTATGGTCGGTTAATTAATAGGAGGAGCTAGATACCCGCATTCCATGAATGCCTAAACTCAAACCCACTCAAGTGTAACAGCCCCCATTAAACAATCTAGATCATATTTCACTGAGCACTCAATTAATACGGGGTACAAGTTCTGTGTGAGGTATAGATTTTCTCGGAAGTTCCTACTGTTATGTAACGTGGGTGTATGGGAGTTAAGGAGTTGAATGTTCAGATTTTGGCTCCCTTTCGCAAGATTTCAAATATTTGCTCTTGGATGGGATTCTTATTAGAAAAGACCTTGCAATGAGGTCATTAGTCCATTGTTCTTCCATCATAATTTATCGCCACGAATACACTTGGATTTTATGTAGCTCGTGGCATATTCAAAACAATTTTGTATCATCCTCCAAAACAAAACTGCAACTCAAATGAAAACCTCCAGAACAAGAATATTCAGATTTGATCTTATTTTTTGATCCTATAATCATATCAATCTATGATAAATCAGTTCCATAAAATAAATTCATTTATATCTATATTTATGTATGTCAACAAACTCCCCTTCTAAATATAGTCTATCCGTTCTGGGAAAATGCCTGTGGAGTGAAATGGAAATGTTATTTTTTTCCTCTAAGGGCGCAAAATTCTAGGACTAGCTGTAACGGTGTTAATGAATTTATCAAAATTGCACATGGTTTAAAATGTTCATTACACGAGATTACAATTAAGGATCAAGGGGAAAACAAAAAGTTTGCGCAAGTGATTCACGTCATCGCCTCGCTCTCGTCTCTAGCTGTTGTCATCTTGGAAGGCTAGCCAAATGTAAAACTTATTAATTTTCTCATTAATGAGTAATATTGATGAAGTTTACTCTCAGTGGGGGAGGCAGCTATGCTAAAAAATAACTTAATTTCACTGAAGAAATATTGCTCGTAAAGTCAAGTTGAAATATTCAATATTCATTCGCAGACATACTTAATTTATAACTTAATTTCACTGAATATTGCTCGTAAAGTCAAGTTGAAATATTCAATATTAATTCGCAGACATACTAAACGCACTTTTATATTCAAAAAAAATAATAAATAAATAATTGGGGAAAAAATTCAAGTCTCGTGCGAAGTAGTGATAATTATGTTTAGTGATGATGGGCAATTTTGTAAAAAAGATTATTTTTAGGGTTATGAGTACTTGGAGGACTGAATTCGTTTCGTCTATTTGATCGAGTTCTTTGTTTACGACCCAACAGTAAACAAGGGCGCTGCACACGCAATGAGAGGTCCAGCAACACTAGGCTTAAAAACGAGCCAACAGCTTGTATTCCGACAACACCCATGTTATCAATAATGCTACAGATGGATAATAATTTTTCAACAAGGAAATATAATTTTGTCACTCTGTTTGTTCTGTTCTTTCGTTCTTCTGACCGGAAGTGAGAGTCATAATGAATAAGTTCAATTTTGACTTTTGATTTGCATTTCAATTGGTTACCTGTGGGTGAAAAATATGTTTACTGATACTCGAGCCAAATAAAATACCATTCATTTTGTTATTATCCTCAAAAGTTTCGCCAACCATAGTGTCAATTGATGTTTATTTTGGATGTGTCCGGTATTTGTTTTAAGACAAATTGTAACCAAACAAAGAAATTTTTTTCTAGATCTCGCCACGATGTTTCGTAACCTTGTTGGAGAAAATAATATTGAAAGCAAATATCTAGTTCCAAACCCACAGAATTGTCTAGAGACAATTTTTTGTAAGAGTATTTTGATCATTCGGTTTGGCTGTTTCTTCCGCTGTGCCTGAGTAGGGATACTGAGTTCGTCTGATCAGTACCCAGGCCACTACGGACCACAGAAACAGCTTACATATATGAAGTTTTGTATCGCATCTACCTAATCTTACAACTATATGTTATTCCTAAAATTTCTCAATTTAAGACTAATTTTCCATCCTTAATCCAGTCTTTGTTTAGTTCTAAATGTGACACCCGTCTTGTGACCAATTTAATTTATGAGATGAGAAAGGCATTCTGAAAAACAATCACTGTATGTCTTTTCCAGCATTTTCCATCAGGACTTCTTAGCGTTACAGTGTTACAGGGCTTGCCATGTTGAAAGTAATTGCGTAAGTCCTTGGTGGATTGGATTTTGATTCTGAACTGAGGAAACGTGCGTGATATATATACCTAATGCTATTTTCAAAGGCAAAATGCATTTGCTGGTGCGTATGAGTATAGTGACCGGTAGATTGTTTTGAGTGAAAGCGTTCTAGTGACTGGTATGCCTGATCTACAACGATGAACTCCTTCATTCCTTGTCTCATTCCTTGTCTCTTTTCTTACACGAAGCTCCAAGTAGCCAGGTTCCAGCAGGCCACATTCATTCACTATTAAGTGTTAAGTAAAAATGACTTTAAATACTAGGTATCTACAGTACGAAAGGCTCCAGTCAATCGACCTTGACCTGATTCCCAGCTGTTCTGACCACACTCCATCAATCCGTCATGCTACTACGGCAATATACTCTACAGCTTATCCATGTTGTTGTGTTAAATATAAGAATAAATATATCGCTTTATTTTAATGTTTTGTCGTTCGAGCGCTTTCGCGCTAGTTAACTGGGACACTTTTTTTACTCCACACACACTCAGCTACTACATTTATGTTTTATGCACACAACGCTCAAATTGTACATTGATTTTTACGGAGGGAGGACACCGGAGAACCCGGAGAAAACCCTCGTGGCAAGGGAGAGAAGAATACATCAAACAAACCCAATTCACATGTGGTATCCGAAGTGGCTCGAACCAATGTCTCGAACTTTTGGAACCACAGTGGTGAAAACGACACGTTAGCAACGTACGCCGCCCATGCTGTATGCTACTCATGTTAAGTTCTTGTATACACCTGGCGAGACTGCTCAAGCATGCACCGGGCATTCCAGGAGAATAGTGTTAATATGAATAAGAACCGAGAATCAACAAAGACTCCAGCAGTGATCTCCCGCACCGGGCGTAGGGTGAAGTGAAATCTTTCACATGCGCTGACTATATGCTCCCTATAGTGATAATTTAATTCTCACAACAAATTTAGAAAATACCATCGCGTACTTATAACTCAGACTAATCTTTTGTCTTATTCTATCATATATACACTCCTTTCTACCACTTCTTTCTCTTTTACTCCGACGAAGGACTAGCGTCCGAAACGTCAGTAAGTTTTTTCATCTTTTCACGGTGTATAATTTACCTTTTCATCATTACTGTTTCATTAGAAACACCGACGCAGCTCACACTAGTTTTTAGCTAGTTATATCTTTTTATAACTCAGACTAAGCAGCGTGCAAAACCTTAAAGTCAAGAGCTAGAATTGTTAAAGAAAGCAACATCACTATGAACCATGAATAGTCATATACTGAAACTCAAAATCGGTATGCAAAAGCGCTCTTTCCTTCATGCAAAGATGAGCAAGAAGAAATGGGTGAAGTGGAATTAACAAAATTAATGAAGAGTAATTTCTCTTCGCTTGACACAAGTATTACAAGCACCAGCATGGAACTCCGTGGCCGAATCCTGATTCTACACAGCTGTAATCTAAACAAACTGGCCGGCCACAATTTCGGAGTCCAGTTTCACCCGCGTACCATGACCCTATATAGCTAACATATAATTATTAGCAATCAAGTTGGATAGTTTACAAACTGGTGAATTTAGAGTTTCCCTTTCATGACCGTATCTTATGCAGTATACAATTGTGAAATATTGAAGATATAGAGCTTGTGAAGTGTGCCCTCACGCTTAAGAACAGAGCTACACTGAAAGAGATAATCGGCAAAGCTTTTGCAAAAAAAAAATCATTCAGATAACTATCCTTAATTGCTGCTCGAAGTTAGATTTGAATGTTTTTTGTTGTGTTTTATTTTAAAGTCCACGTGGCCGTAACGCTTAACCGCCTTTTTGTGATATTTTAAAGTTGAATGCATATTAAAATTCTACGTCAGTCCCGCCCCAAAGTGATGCAAGAAATAAGCCCTCCGATGATCCAACCATGCGCCAGGTCGCTAGGGTTACCACTACACTGCATGGTAAAACAGATATCCGATCTTGCTTCAAATGAGACCGCAGCTCATCACTGCTCCTGTATTGGATATTTTAATTTATGCGCCTCACATACTAGCTCATAGTTGTAGTTCTTCTCCTAGTTAGACTTGAAAACCGATTGACTTGGAAACCGTATTGAAAACCAAATCAAAAACTATCTTTAAATATTCAGATTTATATCCGATATCATTGAAAAATACTAACTTTTACAATGTTTTATCACCATCATTTTTATTGTCTATCTATGTTTTCGTCACGTCTTCCTTTCTCTTTATATCGTTCATTGCAAAACTATGCTTTGTTCTCATTTCGTCTGACCTCATGCCTCAGATGCCTTTTAGATTCGTTATCTGGCTTGATTAACGATAGGTTATTCCAGTTATTCCAAATGAATTGGTTGACTATATATTCATATATTCAGTTATTTAAAGTGACCACAGTAAATCCGTGAAACACTAATTACTAAATAGTACAAAATAGTGCTAATTAAACAATAGAAAACAATGGAATTTGCATGAAATTGTGCTAT